TATATATATATATATATATATATATATATAGACGTAATTTCTTAACGAGGAAACATTAAAGGGTAATAATACAAGAATTAATCATGAATATGCCATTTTTTTGGACCAAGTTTTTGATTTTGCCATTTTTGGTAAAATCTTGTGGATTTGCCATTTTTCATGTTAGAAAAATGTGATTAAACACGCATTTTATTCGTTATGTTTGGGTTTAGTCGGTTGTAATTGTCTTTAGGATTTAGTATTTACTATAAAGTACGTTTTTAGCACACAAAAAAAAAAAACACTTTTAAAAGTTCAAAAATGGCAAATCTATAAGATTTTAACAAAAATGGCACACTCATAAAATTTGCCCTAGAAAATGGCAAAATCCGTAAGAACCCCATTATACAATGGTCTTGTACTACTCTCACCATGTATGATAGATTGTGCTTGGAGATAGAACCAAAAGGTGAGAGTTAGTTCTAAGTCCTGAAAATCCATAATTCCTCGTCATGTCAACAACGTAAAAGGAGTACTCTTTGTATATGGGAATCTTGGATCAATATGACTACTCTTAAAAATCATTCCTCCTAATATATAAAAAAATTAACTAAAATGTATGATTGTGAATTCAACTAGCCATTGGTAAAAAACTAAAAATATACTATGACTCCTAGATCTAGGCTTCATCTTGTGCTGAAAGTTTCTTCCAAATTTTTTTCAATACTTTTTTGATATGTATAGAACAAAAAATATGAGTTACTAACTTGTATCCCCTTTTTAATATAAAAGGGAAGTACATTATAAACATAAACCTCACAAATGGTATGTAATTATTGTACATTCAAATGTCACTACAAATATAGGTTTTAAAGAATGAAATAATAATAATCATCAAAGATAAAAATGTGAAATACTAATTTATTTAATTTAATTAAATTATAAAAACGAAAATACATTATTCATAGAGATGGCGGAGTTAGGATTTCAGTTCAGGAGGGTCAAAAATTAAATTAGAGTTTAATTATGTTATTAAAAAATTTTACAGGGATCAATTATGTTATTTTACAAGGGTCAATTTGATTTTTTTCCTTAATTATTTATTAAATTTTAAAAATTCATCAGGGTCAATTGACCCCTATGCTAATACTCTACCTCCGCCTCCAAATTGGTATTTTGCTCGTTTATTTAATCTACGGACAAACTTACAAAGATAAAAACTGAATTTTAAAAAGAAAAAAATAGAAAGAGGCAAGGAAGAAATAACACAAAAGCTGCCAAGAACATTTCAAAATGAAAATAAGAAAAAGCCTCTATAATGAGCTAGTGTGACTCGAGGATATTTATACATGAGCATGATCAATCATATGGTAGAGATAGTCTTGGTTGTTGAAAACACAAGTCCAACATGTGCTGTTTACGTTCCCAAAGCTTGGCTCCTTTGGCATCGTCAATGGTCTGCTCGATCTATACCCAAAATATTTTATTTCATAGAAAAAAATGAACTATGATTAAATAGTTGATAACCATATGAATCATATAAAATTATTCTTTGTCACAAAATAAATTTCCAAGACCATTGTTTGGTAATGTAGTGAGAGTACTAGCTAGTGATAAAACTTACCGTTGTGGGAGAAAAGGTCGGTCGAAGAAAGGCATCAGTTGAGCTTTTGGAACCATTTCTTTCCTTAGCATACGAATCTCTTCCTCTTCTATCATCTGTTACATATATACATATAGTTCAATTTTCAATAATGTGGCTGCTTAATTTTGAGAATTATTCTCAAATCAAAGTAAACGAACTCCAACTAATCTCACTCTTTTAGTTAAATATATATTTACTTAATTACTGTCTTAATGTTATTTATTCAAAGGCTCGTATGAAACTAAACTAAACTGGCCGCGCACAAGAAAACATGCATTTAACGACTACAGCTAGCGACTAAATCGCCCAACTTAGCGACTATATACCTACTATCTAGCGACAATATTATGACTAAACAGATACAGTTGTAATATAATCGTTAAATAGCGACTAATAACAACAGACGTAAAGTTAGTCAGCAAGTAGCAACTACACAGCGACTAAAAAATAAGGGAAAAATATTAGTCGTATGATAATCGCTATGTACTATGTACTGACTATACTTACGACTTTTTGTTTTAGTCGTATATTTAGCGACTATTTGGCGTGTACTTAGTCGGTAAATAGTCGGTAAACCATGGTTTAGGAAAAGTTGGATACATCAATATGGTCAGATTCATTTCAAGTGGTTTTTATATGAAAATTTTCGATTTTCGACTAGCCAGATTCATAGAGATATTGAGGTTCTAGTTATTTCAAAGAGTAGTTGTATATTTATAGCTCAAGAGAGACCAAAACCAATCAGCGTACGGTTTTGCTCGTCGGTTTAAATAGGCTAAGGTTGTTCTTTTAACCTAATGGGTAGCATTCTCATTTTTTTTACCTTTTGCAACCTTTCTTCTTGTTTTTTCTGCAGTTTCATGATATAATAATTAGTTGCAACCTGCCAAAATGATGAATGAGCTCCATGGAGTTTGAAACTAATAATTATAATTATAATGAGAAAATTAAAGAAATATGTTATGAGGAAGTTTGGTGTAAACCGAATAGTTGAACATTGCACGTTTCACTGCTCTCTCGCCAGAATGAAGCTTGAACTCGAGTGGCTTTTTGTTCTCTTTTGCTGGTGCCTTTGCAACATTCTGATTAATAATTATATATATAAAAAAAAAAAAAATCAATCATTCAATCTTAGTTTGTAAATCCGAATGATAAGATCAATCTAATTTGAAAGATATGTTACTATAATTATATATAACCCTTAGTAAACCTAGCACTTGTATATGTGTTCTTGGATATATATAAGAAGTTCATGTAACATATGCCTTATATTTCTCTTTTTATGGCCTAAACAAATTTCACAATTTGATCATATATAGAACCATGCACCATTTTGATACCTTAGCCGCCGGGGCTACGTACCTTGGCTTTGGCATTGGCCCTGTCTTTGAGTGGTTCCACTTTGGTCTACAAGTAGAAGTGAATAATTAAGCTACTTAAATCTTTGTACGAGGATGTACATTTATCACTATATATAATATACACTATAGTATCTATGTACAATTCTAGGAAAACTAGACTTTTTCTTACTCATTATTTATAAAATTCGACAGAGAAGTTCACGAATAAGACATAAAGTATACTTAAGAGTAGAACTCATCGTGTAACAAATTTGATCGAGGAAATGGGAGATAGCAACCTTTCCGGATTTAGCTATTACTTGAAATGATCACATCACAACCAACAAGAAAAAGAAACACATGCATACTCACACTTCTGGCATTAGATTATGTTACATAGATATATATATTTTTTTTGTGGAATTGTAGAAAGTTGTAAGTAAATAAATAAATAAAAAACCATCTGATTATTTTAATTTTAAATTGAAATATATGGTTTTTTTGGCAAACATATTTACTTGCAAATTTACTTTTAAGCAGATGATTTTATGAGTCCAAACATATTCATACAATTTAAAACTTACACACACACACACACACACACACACACACACACACACACACACACACACACACACACACACACACACACACACACACACACACACACACAC